TCAGACCCTGGTCACAGTCTTCAAGAGGGGATCCGTAGACTGGCACCCAGGCGGGGGGCGGTGTGTGCTGGATATCAGTGTGGAGCTTGTGCTTAACGCACAGAGGGGGAGGGGAAGGAAAACATTTTTTAGAAAGAAGGGAGAGGAGGAGGAGGTGTGTGTGTGGGGGGGAAGTTAGACATAAAGAGCTCCCTCAAAGGAAGAGCAGTGCCAGCTGTGAAAACAGGAGACTGTATAGGAGGCACAGTGCCCAGCCTTGCACAGCTGGGTGCAGAGAGTCCCACGGCATCACAGCAGCAATCCAGCTGTGGCCCTTCAATAAGAGCAGTGTTGTTGGGGGGGGGGGGTGTCTCTACAGTTCCATATATTAATAATACTGTTTTGAAAAGTGGGGGATGGGGTGGAGGAATGAAAAAAACCTTTTGGAATTTTGAAAAGGGATTATTTTTTTTCCGGGGTCTGTTATAATGTCGCTTGAGCGTCCGCGGTTTCTCGTTTCTCACAAGTCTTTTAAAATAGTCTGGCACGGCGATGGAACTCGCCTAACATCTGGTCTCCATGCTGCTGTGCAAACAGCTAGGATGCGGCCGCAGGGGTCGCTGTAACTGTATCCCTCTGCCCCCCGTGGGGCCCGTTTGTTTTTATACACCCTCTCCGACTTTTATTCCCGGAGGGCAAAGGGCAAGGGCCTGTTCTTAATGCCAGCTCCTTGGGAATGTTCTGGGACCCCAGTAGTGCACACCTGCGAGGTGCAGTGACGATGCCTTGTGACCTATGCTCTTTGCACCCCCCTAATGACCCTGGTTTGACAACAGCCACTGTCTGTTTGTACAACTAAAACCCCATTTCCAAACATCGTAATAGGTGGTCTGCAAAGGGTTCATGGAGTCAAATCCATCATGTAATCTAACACGATTGTTCTCGGAGATAAAAAGATAGACCAGCGGTAGGCTGGGGTTATCCGTTGCAGTTTTTTTCCTCTGATCTGTTTTTTTTTTCCCCCCTTTAAAAAGCACTGTCTGCTTTGTCTTCCTGGCTGGCAGAGTAACACAAGAAGTAACCCCAGTCTGAGGTCTGGCAAAGTTTCGGTTGCCAATTAAGACATTTGGGAAGAGGCTGAAAAGCGCCGAAGACGTAGCGTTTTGGAAGAGTAGAGTTTCTGGAAGCGTGTGCCTGGCTTCTTGAGCCGGCTATTGTCTCGCTGCCCTGTTTGGATCGTTGCTCAGCGATGTCTTGTGACAGTGAGTCAGTCGGGGTGTCTTCACATCCCGTTTCTGCACAGATGCTCCCTCTCGCACGCGGGCGCACACACACTTGTGAGGAGACTTTTCCCTTGACTCTCTGTCTATTTTAATTATTGCATACGCCGCACACAAGGTAAAAATAGACCAGAAACAAATAGCTCTGGTAATTTCAGATTGAAAAGACGGAGCCTTTTGGTTTATAAAACAATTTCACTGCTGACCATTCGCCTGACCAGGTTTGTATTATATTTGTAGGAACATTACCCCAACCTTTACGTACTCAGCGATATTAATGTACTGAGTATCAAAAGAAATGTCACACCCTGCTTATTATTTGTATTTTTTTAGAAACTAAAGTATATACACTTGTTTAGATTGGATTAGCATCATTGTGATTAATTGAACATCTCTATTTGATCATGATACGCTCAAGTGACTTTGTTCCTTAAGCGCTAAATTGCTTCATTAGTCTGAGAGTTAATTGGGCACATGAGCCTCGTGAAAATCAAGAAAGAAAATAACACTCAAAAGCCTATGTACCCTGCTGATCAAGAGACCATCACCATGAGCATGTTAGAGGCTGGGATAAAACTGTATCCTTCCTTATAGAGTGTTCACTGACAGCAACGTTTAAGTTTTCTGAGCTGGAAAGATATAGCCAAGCTCCATTCCACAGCTGAATTACAGAAATATATAAATTATGCAACCCCCCCTTCCCCCATCACACTAGCCTGAGCACTTTGTATTATTAATTTATTTATATTATAAACCTTACTTATTGTGGTATTTAATCTGTTTGCCCCATCCACACGTTTTTTAACCCTCTTTATCTAGTAGAGGGTTGCAGGGTAGCTGGGGTCTGTCCCAGGACCAGAAAGGCACAAGTCAGACACCAGTGCATCACAGAGCACAGACTCACACAGGGCCGGTATTCCCAGAAGCTAACTAACCTACCACCATGTCCTTGGACTGTGGGAGGAAACCAGTGCACCCAGAAGAAACCCAAGCGAACATGGGGGAGAACATGCAAACTCCACACAGACAGTACCCCAGGTCCGGGATTGAACTCGCTGCCCCAACACTGCAAGGCAGGAGTGCCAACCACTGTGTCACTGTGCCGCCCCTCCCCAAAACGAACCGTTAGTTCGGAAACACTGACCTGGTCCGTCACGGGGGACGTGATCTGGGGGGAGCGCGAGTCACAGCAGCTTGTCTTCGGAAGCCAAGTCTTCTTCAGCGGATGAGTCATCTTTATGAGTCATCTTCATCGTCAGTGGCTGTCCCTCCTCGCCTCGTGAATGGGGAGGACTGTCTTCCATGGATCCAGGTTTCTGCATGGATCTGGCATGCTCTGCAGGTGTTGTCTGCGTCGCCAGCGTGGCACCGCGGTGCTGAGCGAAGCCCTTGATAGTCCAGAGCAGCAGTCTGACCGACGGGGGAGCCCGTGCGTGATGTTCTGGGTGGCAGTGTCTGTTCAGCACTTGCAGTGATTGAAGGCGTCTGACTGCATCGTGCATCATTGATCGTGTCCTTGGACCCCACCTGCCGCCTTTCCTCCCCGCAGGATCGGGCCCTTCCCCATGCTGCTGCTGTAACAGGGGGGCTCTGCTCTCCAGACTTGTCTGCGCATGCGCACGACCACACGTGCACAGTAGCTACCTTGGGTGTTTCGTAGTAGTGAAAAGTCTGGCACAGCAGCCTGCAGCAGGGCAGTGCATGCAGTGCTGCCCTTTCAGTTCATTCGGCCTCCAGGAACACTCGGGGGTTTGTCTGTTATAGCTACACGTGCTAACTAACTGCTGCTTGGTGGCATGCATTCACATAATTGGAATGCCATTTGTGTCCAAAAGAGTATTAAACAGATATTAAGTCATATCTAAATGTACCATAAATATGCAGGTGTCTTTGGAAGCACACAGTAGGATACTGTTTACTGATGGCAATTCTGGAACAAACCTGATAACATTTATGTTAGTATTACCAAACAGACACATAAACAATTCCTGAACAATACAGCATTTTGGTATGCGTGTGCGAGCTGGTATGTGTGTTCAGCTGTCTTATGCTGTTTTTGCTGTGCTGGATTCCCTGACTTCACAATGAAGTCAACAGCCCCTTTAAAGGATCAGTTCTACATCCATTTAATTCAATTAAAGATTTCTTATTATTTCTGACACTCCATAATGCTATTGGCCTTCTTTACAACCTTTTGCTAGTGGAGGATATTTAGGTCAATTTTGATTTGCCCCAATTATTTCACTACTTATTTTCATTTACTTTTCCCAACCTATTGCAACTGCTGGTACTGATGTTGCCAAACCAACAACCCAGACAGCATGTTAAGACCCTTTCAATAAAGGAAACAGTTAAAATAGTCCTATCGTTCTTGGAAAAATTGAGTTTCCCAAGAAAGAAGAGTCTCAGTTGGTCTTTTTTTATAAACGCTGTCACGAGGTTTGTCCCATCTTGGGTTTTGGTCTTTGACCAGTGCCAGGTACTGGGATCCGGGGATGTGGGAGGGGAGCTGTAGGATCTAACTTTTGAAAGTTGGGCTACACATTAACTGCCCAGGCAGGAAGGTGGAAGACAGATATTACACAATGTAAAATCAAATTAAACATCAGGCTACAAAGTTCACACAAGCAAGCTGTTGTAGTGTCTGCAGGCCCTACTCCCACAGCATGAGAAATGAGAAGAGGTAAACGTTCCAGTAATGGCAGTTTACTGGAACATTTTGTGAACCTTATTGATCTGTGTGAACTCAAAGTCCCTCTTTCCTCTAAATTCCTTGTTTTCTGTTCACCGTCAGCGTAACTTGGACAGTGGTTCAGTACATGTACATTTAAAGGTATTGAGTCATTTCTCTATTTATAACACAGCTGCCTGTAGCTCCACTTGTGGTTTTGTCAGTGCACTCCCAGTTCTGACCTCTGCTCTTTTGCTCACTTTCTCCTGTCCAGATGTTGAGCAGATGGCCATTGACTGGTTGACGGGAAATTTCTACTTCGTGGATGACGTGGATGACCGCATTTTTGTCTGCAACAAGGATGGGGCGACGTGTGTCACGCTGCTGGACCACGAGCTTTACAACCCCAAGGGCATCGCCCTCGACCCTGCCATGGGGTGGGTGAGCCCGTCTGTCCGTCTCTCTCTTGCGTTGTTGAGGTTTTAGCTAGGGGAAAGCAAAGCTCCCTCAGTTCTGCGTTTCCCCCAATCACGGCGCAGGCCTCCGCAGTTCCACCAATCATGGTGCACTGTTTCTTTTGTTTTCCACCAATCGGTGTGCACCCCCCTCCACCAATGACATTGTGTCCCCATGTGCTCCATCAGTCACAATGCTGTTCACTCACACCAAGCTGTAAAAGAATCTTGTTTTTTTTTTGTGTGTGTGTGTGTGCATATCCATAACATGCAGCTTTGCAATTTATTGAATCAGTCATATGATTAAGCAAGCATAGTAGTGGGGGGGCTACAATGAACAGGAATCCACTGAGTACCACCCTATGAAATTTCACAATTTTGGTAACCAAACAGATTGAGAAATATAGGATGAAACCTCCAGGAACAGAGATGATTCACCTAAAACAATTAAATCCTGGAACAGATGGTTAAACGATTATACAGACTCAGCAGTCTCCTTGAACAGGTTTTGGCTGTTTTTCTGGAATCGGCATACTGACAGAAGAAGAGTGGAGGATCAGATATACAGTACAGGCGATGACTTGGCACACGCAGTCATGTCCACTGCAGGGATATAACCCATATGCAGCAGAGTTAGTCAAAGGCTGTGACCTTCCAGCAGTTTTCTTTCCAAGATTTTAACAAGCTGAACTTGGCTAAAGCAACGTACAGTTAGGATTGTAGTTAAATGGCAAACAATTTTACACATCCAAAGAGTGTGTGTTTGCCTTCATCAGAAATTTAGACACTTTTCTTATTTCAACAAAACGCATGTACAAAAGGCATGGATGAGTCTGAACTGTTTTTTTTCTTTGGTGTTTTTTTTGTACTGTTTCTACATATTCTGTGCTGTTTTTATGTTATTTTATGCAAACACATTTTTGGTAGTGTTATGAACATTTTCACAGTCTCTTAAAATCCTAAGAAAATGCCTAATAATGCCAAGTGATGCCAAAGCCAGGCTGAGGAGGCCTGGTGTTAGAGTGTCCTGCCCTGTGTTCCTGTGTTTCAGTGTAGCCGCTCTCTGAAGTGTGAATAATGACTGCGGAGATCTCATTCCCTCCCCTGTCTGCTCCATTCCCCAGGAAGGTGTTCTTCACCGACTATGGGCAGATTCCCAAAGTGGAGCGCTGCGACATGGACGGGCAGAACCGCACCAAGCTGGTGGACAGCAAGATTGTCTTCCCCCACGGCATCACGCTGGACCTGGTCAACCGGCTGGTCTACTGGGCCGACGCCTACCTGGACTACATAGAAGTGGTGGACTACGAGGGCAAGAACCGGCACACCATCATCCAGGGCCTGCTGGTGAGTGGGACCGACCGGGGGGCCTGATCGGGGCGTCGGGGCTGCGGGCGGCGCAGCCCTGCAAGAGCAAGCCGGGGCGTCCCCCTTGAGTGGCTGGGAAAGGCAAGGGGAACCCCTCTTTTGGAAAGAGTGATGGCGGTGGGTGGTGGGGTTCCATGTTGTCGTTTCGGGGGACAGTTCACAGGACAGACCAAAGCAGAAAGCTGCATTGTACCGTCAGCCGCGGGTCCGTATGGTAAACATGCGGCATTGGGTGGCAACTTGAGAGACACCCCCCCCCATCAGTGCTGCCATGCTCTGCCTCTTATACCCCAAAGCCTCCGTGACAGTTCACTGGTGCAAGACCCCCCAGTCAGGCCGAGGGGAAGTGAATGATAGGGAGCCATCAAATAGAGAAGAGGGAAATTCCCACCTAGCATGAGCCCTGTACCTGCAGAGCACTGCTTGGATCTTACTGCCAAAGGTCCAAGGCTGTGGACTGGGTCTCTGAAGGGCTGTGCAGCTGACTTTGGCAGTGTGGTTGGAGGTCCGGATGCCTCACTGGATGAGTGAAGATTCAGATCCTAGCTGACTCACAATGGAAACAAATGATGACATTATTCCGGACAATATAACTTACAAAGAGGTGCTACAAAAAGTATTTGGTAGGACCTGTAGATAATGGTAATCCCCAGTAAATCATTGTAGATAAAAGCATCTTCCTGGATGAATGCTTTAATTTGTAATGCAAAAACACAATCCTGCATGCACATTTATCCATGTGGTTGGAACAAGGAGAGCACACAGCTGCGATAAAACACATAGTACCAAGTGAAGCAGTCACAAACACGCCTCGCCCTGTCAGCTGAGCTGTGTTGGTCATTCCATGGCCTGCAGGCATGTCCACCAGCGGTGTGGAGGCATTGCGAGAAACCCAGACAGCCTGGGATGCTGCGATTCAGATAACGGAAGAGGGAAGGTGCCCATTTATCCAAATGGGATTTCTCCAAACAAAATTCCCAACAAATGGTGGCAGATCCATCGTTACCATTTAGCAGAAGAATAAAAAAGTGAATATGCATTTCTTTCTTTGTTTTGTTAATTAGCGGTCTTAGAAGGCAGCTAATTAACTGTGATGATGGAGGTGGCACCTCCAGTGCCAGGCTGTCAATGGAGTGAGATATGTTTGCTGTTCAAACTCCAGGGACTTGTGTCTTTTTTCATTTGGCCAGGCTACTTTTTAGGTAAACAACTGCATTGATCGGCCAGTGGATTATAGCGCTATGCCTTTCTAAACATATTAGCAGTTCCTGATGTACTGCCCAGCTGTCACCCATCCAGGGGTAATGATGTTAATTTAGTCTCCCGGTTTTAAAAGTGGAGAATGTTAAGTAGCCCAAGCTATTTGTCTCTCTTGCTGTATGAGTGAGAGGGTTTTGACAGAGCGGAGTCACTTCGAACACTAAATTATCGAGCGCTTGCAGTTGTTAGCACTGATGGGCTGATATTGACATGGTGGTGTGTGCATGAACAAAAACACAGAGAGCATGCAAAACATTGGGAAGGTCCATGCAGCCACTGGCATAACAACATAAAAACACAAGACAGGCTACAGGTGAGAGAAGGTTGTTCTGTCTATATTGCCCGTGTGGCAGTAGTGAATTGAGCTGCCTTGAAGTGCCTCCTGCTCCGCTGGGCATGGGTCAGACACCGAGTTCGGACAGCCTTGGACCGGACAGCTGCGCTCTGCTGGACCGGCGCTGGCAGCGGAGATTTCCATCTGCCCTCACCCCTCTCCCTCCCTCGCCCGCAGATCGAGCACCTGTACGGCCTGACCGTCTTCGAGAATTACCTCTACGCCACCAACTCGGACAACGCCCACATGCAGCAGAAGACCAGCGTCATCCGCGTCAACCGATTCAACAGCTCCGACTACCACGTGGTCACTCGGGTGGACAAGGGGGGCGCCCTGCACGTCTACCACCAGAGGCGCCAGCCTACAGGTACGTGGGATTGTCCCTGCATGCTTGTGCGTGCCCCTTGATGAGCTGGCATCACATGTGGGATATATTCGCCCTGCCCCCCCTCCTCCCAGATAGGAGCCAGGATAATGGATAATGGCCAGATGCATGATTTCTGTAGTAATTCATCAGTGAGAAACGAAGAAAGCGTCCACTCATGCCGGCTGCAACCGTGGGGCTTTTGGAAGACTGGGGATTTAAAGCTACGCGTGGGTCGTGGACTCGCTTGCTCAGTACATCCGTGCAGTCGCCCTTTCCATTTGATGACTTCACTGGGCACGGTGGAAAGTTCCCTGTTCACAGCCGCCACTCCAGATTGCCGGCTGGTTCTCGCGGTCAGGCTGACCCCCTCTCCTCCCTCCCTCTCTCCCCTGCAGTGCGGAGCCACGCCTGTGAGCCGGACCAGTTCGGCAAAGCGGGGGGCTGCTCCGATATCTGCCTGCTGGGGAACAGCCACAAGACGCGCACCTGCCGCTGCCGCTCGGGCTTCAGCCTGGGCAGCGACGGCAAGTCCTGCAAGAGTGAGTACGCGGGCACCGGGCACGCTCAGCCGTCTTCGTTATCTGATTCTCTTACTGTCCTCTACTACAGCAGCAAATACATATACAGAGCGGTGGCTCTGTGGCTAAGGATCTGCGCCTGTGACTGGAAGGTTGCCGGTTCAAATCCCGCGGCCGGCAGAGGAATCCTACTCCGTTGGGCCCCTGAGCAAGGCCCGTAACCCTAACTGCTCCAGGGGCGCCGTACAATGGCTGACCCTGCGCTCTGACCCCAAGCTTCTTCCTGTCTGTGTGTCTGTGTCTCCATGGAGAAAAGCTGGGGTATGCGAAAAGACAAATTCCTAATGCAAGAAATTGTATAGGGCTAATAAAGAAACATTATTATTATTATTATTATTATTATTATTATTATTATTATTACATAATGTTAAGTGTTGCACGTTAAAAATCAATCTGAGCCGTGCAACAATACATATACACACACCTCGCTCTGCCCATATTATACTCCCAGTACGCTAATCTGATAGATTCCTACAGGAAACAGACACTTGCTTAGTGTTTAGTATACCGATTGCACAGGGAGCAAAAGATTTCTTGTATATGTTTTTCTTGGCCACTGGCATTCTGCAACGCCTCTCTGACGATAGCAGGTGAAACTGGGAAGAAAGAAGGTGGGAGGGGTTATCAGTGATCAGCTGAGCTGAAATACGATACGGCTCTTTATGCCGTTTCTGTGATCGACCAATTATTTTACCAGCATGAACAATTCTGCCCAATTTCATTACTATTTGCATGATACCAGCCCACTTGACTGCAATTGGAATAGGCCATTGAGAGTAGATCGGATCTCAGTTCTTAGCTACAGTACAAACCCCTGTGTCCGCACACTGCGGCGAATGAGGAAGGGCAGACATGTTCCTCCAACATGCCCACCTGCAGGGCCATTCCCCATCTGACACACTGAGAGATCGACAGTGCTGACAGGAGAAATACAGCACTGAATGGAGACGGGGTGTAGCTCTTACTGATCTGACTGCATGCCTCCAGGTACACAGTTGACTAATGCCCCCCCCTCCCATAGCAACACTGTAGCATCTGTGCTGTGCCACTAGCAGAGTCCTGGCCACAGTCAGATAGCAAAGTTCTCATGTATCTTGCAGCGTTTCTTTTTTCATCTGCTCTTCTTTTTCCCCTCGGTCTTTTTGGGTGCTTTCTGTCACCTGGTTGTCTTCCACTACCAGTTTCTGCTGTCTCTCTCTCCTTGCCTTTTCTTCACGGAGTCTCTGTCTGTGGCTGCGCCTGTTCAGTCTGCCTGGCCTTCTCTCTGTTCCTTTGTCTCCCTCTTGCTCTCTCCCTTTGTGTCCCAGTGGAATTAGGAAGAAATGCTGTGAGATAGACATAGGGACTTTGTCATAGATTCGCCGCTCTCAGACTCTAGGCAATGCATAGAAGCAAAAACTGAGGACTTCAGCAGATGAATTAGGAAGACAATCTGGGGGAGCATAATCTATTCAGTCTCAGTATCTATATACACAGAGGATCGGATTAAGGTCTTCAGGGAATACTTCAAGATAAATGCAGTGAGGACAATGTTGCAATGTTGGGACATGACTAGGAATTGGTTCAAAGCTAATTTTGCTTTAATGTTTGAGACATTTTCAGAGAGAGGTATGGAATGTATTAAAGCATTATTAAAGTATGGATTATTAAAGAAGGGAATGCATTACCGGGACACGTCCTGGACATGGAGGAGCTGAGCGCTCCGAGTCTGGCTGTGATGCTGTGACACATGGCCTGTTGCTCCGCACACAGTGAGCTGCTAGTGAGCGCGCCGAGTCTGGCCGTGATGCTGTGATGGACGCCCTGTTGCTCCGCGCAAGGCGTGCTGCCAGTGAGCGCTCCGAGTCGGGCCGTGATGCCGTGACACACGCCCTGTTGCTCCGCGCACAGCGTGCTGCCACTGAGCGACGCTCTCTGCCCCCGCAGAGCCCGAGCACGAGCTCTTCCTGGTGTACGGCAAGGGGCGGCCCGGGATCATCCGCGGGATGGACATGAACGCCCGGGTGCCGGACGAGTACATGATCCCCATCGAGAACCTGATGAACCCGCGGGCGCTGGACTTCCACTCCGAGAGCGGCTTCATCTACTTTGCCGACGCCACCAGCTACCTCATCGGCCGGCAGAAGATCGACGGCACGGAGCGCGAGACCATCCTGAAGGACGGTAGGGCCAGAGGGCCACCGCGGCAGCCGGCGGGAGTGCCAGTTGCGACTGGCATTACAATGCAAGCAGCCCTGTTCCCTGAAAATGCTCACAGATGTAATGCCAGTCACGGAATTGCACCTGAAAAAAGAGCCAGCAATAAGAACTTTAAGGGGCTGGCTGGATTTGAATAAACAGCAAAGATCCATTGTGGAAGGCAGTGTAAACTACTCTACAGTATTACAGGCAGACGTTTTTGGTACCACAGTTGGATGAGTAACAGGGTAGAGAAACTGCAGTTTCTATCAATAAAAATCTGTTTGAGATTTGGTAGTATGAGTTATTGAGACAAGGGGTTCCTTATCCTGGGCCTTGGGATCCCCAAACCTGTTGGTTTTTCTTCTTGCCGAGCTTTCCGTTGCATAGTTTGGCCAGGAATAAGATTTGAGATCTTTATTTTCTCTTCAGCACTCCGGAGGTTGTCTTTTAACTATTGTGTTCTGTAAGCGGCTCATGAGTTACATTCTTCCGTGAGCAAACCTTTTAACCTTCAAGAAGAGATGAAAAGGGCCCCTCGAGTGAAGTAATGAGCTCGGCCGGAATGAAAGCCAGCCGGCGTGCAGTCGATTGCCCTGGTTTTGCCGATCGATCCTTTCCTTCACGTTTGTCGAGGCAGTGGTGCCGCCGCAGTCTGACTGCGGTCTGGGGCGGCTCGGTCCGAGTGTCACAGCCTCCCTCCCCTCGCCGTGCAGGTATCCACACTGTGGAGGGGATCGCCGTGGACTGGATGGCCAACAACCTGTACTGGACGGACGATGGCCCCAAGAAGACCATCAGCGTGGCTCGGCTGGAAAAGGCCTCCCAGACGCGCAAGACCCTGATCGAGGGCAAGATGACCCACCCGCGCGCCATTGTGGTGGACCCCCTGCACGGGTGAGGAAGAGAGAAAGAAGCTGACCGACGGCGTAGGAGAGCAGAGACATGTCCCACTTTCCATCACTGTTAGTACAACACCAACACTTGAACAGGGCTCTGTCAGTGTGAGTACAGCACCAACACACTGGTGCTGACAGAGGTGTGTTCAAGTGCAGTGTGAAATCACCTCTGTTGGTGTGAGTACAGCACCAACACACTGCACTTGAACACGCCTCTCGGTGTGAGTACAGCACTAACACACTGAATTAAAATGATACATCCATATGCTATAAATATAAAAAAATCTTGATTTATGCACAAATTGTTTATATCAGAGTTCAGAAATCTTACTTTATGCGAGCTCAGTGTGTACCTGTAACTTTGTTTCCAAACAGATTGTACACATGTACATGTACAGATGATATTCTTAAATCATACTCCACATATCCCATCCCATACAAAAAGACAGCAGAATCTCATAGACATGAAATGACTGCTCAGCACAGCGGTTGTGACTGGGAAACATGGCAAACGAATCTGGGCGCAAATAACTGGAAGGCTATAACAAAATAAAAGCTGCCTGCAAACGTGTATTGCGTCTTGGAGAGATGAGATGATGCATGAAGACAGACACCTCTTTCAGGGAAGAGTGACATTTCTGGATGTTGCAGCCTGAGCAGTTTTCCTCTCTGAAAAAATGGTACTTTGTCACTCAGTGAGATTTGAAGCACATGTGAAAAAGACCAGTTTCATGCGATGCCCCCTACAGGTCGTCGGTCCTGAGCCTGTCTTGCACTCTCCCTCTGCATCCTGCTGGCTCCTGAGTGACAATGACTCTCCCTTCTCTTTCTCTTGGGCTTTCTGGCTCTGCTGCCTCCCCAATCAGACCTCATTACCTCTGCTGGTTGTGTTATCCTTGATTAATGACTGCTTTTTCAAATTTAAATTAATCTTCATTTATCATTTCGGAGCTGCTGGTGACAGAAATAGATTGGAAAATTGAACCCCCTCCTCCCAGCCTGCTCCCCCCTCTTCGCTGAATGCAAAGGAGCGCCACATCCTGGCCACCTGCCCTGTTGCTCTGAATATCACCCTCGCCATCCTGCGGCATGTTCGTTATCACCTCCTGTCAGTTCAGCCTGCTTTTGCATCTGCTTCTAATTCCTCTTTTACTGTGTTTTGAAATGCTCCTCGTTCGGCATTAATATGCCTGGCACACCTCATGGTATCTGTGTGTTTATGGCCTGTGTTTCCTGCTCTGACTTGAACACTGTAACCCAGTTAGCTAGGAACAGGAGAGCCACCATGCAGGACACCCGATGGTTAGGAAGGGGATTCAATCTTTTGAGGAACTGATACCAGGAGAGTCTGATCTCTGAGCCCGAAGTGAAGTGGCATCCCCTGCACCAGAATAAAAATAAATCAGCTGTTGAAGCATCCTCATCCTTCTGTTCTGCAAAGCCACAGTTAAATCGTTTTGCATTGAGATTTTTCGTTTCTGTTAAAGCTAATGCGATTAGTAAAATCAATAACATTTTTTCAATTAAACCAGCACAGGTAGAATAGCAGCAGATCTAAGAGCAGGATAAAAGGACTACCCTTCAATCACAGTTGTAAAGAATTTGGGGAAAAAAAGAAGTGGTGAAAAGTTATAACTTAGTGATTCCCCTGTACAAATCACAGCTCTCTGATCCCTTGCCCCTGAAGCATGCATGGTGTTTGGGCCCTTGTGGAGGACTCGCCCTTTACCCCCCTTGCCCTGTGCCTCGTTAGAGTTAATGCAAAGACTAAGAAAGTGACTGGGGATGTTCCTGTAACTTCGAAAGGTCGAGCCCTTTTTACAGCAGTGTCGATTTACACAAAGCTTTTGCCCCCCTTGTGCCAACACAAGGATCTTGGTGGGCAGAACAGCTGGGTAGCACTTTCCAAACTGGGCAGTCGTGAAATCTCAGCATTTTTAAAAAGAAGAAGTTTGGGCGTGTTACACAGTGCTCCCCCCTTCCCTGGAGCTCGATGGCTTGCTGTATAGAAAGGCACGACTCCCCTTATGCTACAGATGGACGTCTGGTGGTGTACTAGTGTCCTGTGCAGGAGGCAATCCTGCTTTCTCAGTCCTCTTAGTGCTGCGGACACTAGGATGTGCTCAGGACTGACGAGTGTGGGTTTCCCTGCTGCAGAGATCTGGATTAGCGATGAGAAGCAACGTCAGGACTGGTGTGGAGAAGGGTGTGGGGAATTGTCTAACTCGAGCCATGCCCAGCTCTGTCCTCTCATCAATCATAACACCTTACAGGCAAAAACCCAGATCTTCCTGAGCATGTCTGGGATTCAGAAATCAAATCCCGATCAATCAGTGATCTGCTCTCCTCAGCTGGCGCTCTGCATGCTGCTCAGTGTGGATGCCTGCCCTTCCAAAAGAAGTCCTGATCAGAAACTGATACTGGGACACCATGTGGTTCTGATTAGTGGGGGGGGGGACTGCCATTGGGCCTGCATTCCAGTGATTCCTGTTAATGCAGAGCGTGCCCAGGGCTTGCAGGGATCAGCAGCAAAGGCCCTGTTGGTTAATCGTGACCTCGCCTCCCACTGGCACTGAGCACTAGAATTCACAGAGAGAGGGGCAGTTATCCAGTTCACCAGCGCCAGGCCTGGCCACTCCAGTCGATGGGAAAGGGACTCAATGAAGTTTCAATAAGACATTAGGAGAAGAAGATACCCTGTTGCTCAGTCCCTTGCTCCATCGCCTCTAGGTCACTGCTGAAGACCACAAGAATTGTATGCTGATACCTTTGTAAATGATACCTTTGTGAATGAGTGGATTTATTCCACTTCTTTTGTCATGACTAGACATCTGAAGGGGCCATACAGCAGCGCTCCTGGAGAGATCTTGCATTTAGTTTGTGACTTCATTAAAATTAATTGAGATATCATTGTGCTTTTGCTGTCATTGTGCTAATGTAAGCATATTTAATTCAGTGTTCATTAACGCACTCATTTTTTTCTGAATGGTGGCTTATGAAGAAGCAAATGTCAGATTTCATCACACAGACTGTATTCTTGCACATCTTGGTTCATTCTGCCACAATGCTGATGTCGTCACTGTGCAGATCTGTCGGGCAGGCCTGTCATTGTACAGGTGCTGTATATCGGTACACCACACCTTATTGTGACTGGTTAGGCAGAATCCAGGTGTTGTACCACAGCTTGTATAACTTGGATCGAATGTCTTGTTACCAGTATTTCCCTT